GTTTAACAATTAATATCCTGTAATAATATTCATTGTAACTTGGCTTAGCTCTTGGTGAAACATTATTCAAATAATTCATGAAATAAAATAAAAGCACTTGGTTTCGTTTCACTATTTTTTATTTAATTCTCTAACATATGTTTCGGCTGTTATGCCATTATCAAAGAGTTATACTCTAAACTATTAATATCAATAATATCTAGGTAGTTCGTTCCATTTAAAAGGAGAAATTTACTCATTTAAGTTAGTTTACAGTATAACTCTTTGATAATGGCATAACAGCCGAAAAATATGTTAGAGAATTAAATAAAAAATAGTGAAACAAAACCAAATGCTTTTATTTTATTTCATGAATTATTTAATATCCTGTAATATTCCCACACATCCCTTAATTTAAATTTGCTGTCGTTTGATACTTACTAAGGTATTTTCGTGAAATATTTAAAAGATCTAATCAAAACCGTATCGTATTTTAGTTGATTATTATTGAAACGCTTAGAAATTAGTAAAAAGATATGTGATACAATTTATTAAAACTGTTATGTACAGTGACGTATTCTATAAATTAATTTCTGTAAGTATATTTAAATTCATTTAATTAATATCAAATTTCTTTAAGGCTTGAAAAGAGTGGTGCATGGCAAAGCTAGTGACATTGTAAATTTCTAATCAAATAATGTTTTGATTCAAAAACACCTTTACCCTAAAAGTAGTAGATACCTATTTTCAAATCGTAAATGTAAATATATTATTAAATGTAAGTGAGTTGACCCTGCAGGGTCATCCATATTTGAGAAGGCAAGTTCAAAATTACGCATTTAAACAACAATTATTTATCAATTACAATTTGTTATTTTAAACTCGTAGAAACTGAGTATAAATTCGTTTGATGAATTACCTACCTAGCAACTTTGAAAACTTTTTACTTCACCCTTTTTAATAAAAATAATACTTAGCCCTTACCTAAGGGTTGCTTTGAGAAATGCATACAATTTTGGACTTGTATTACAAATTATTTATGATAAAAATATTGAAATACTGCGTACTCAGATTAGGCAAAATAGTTTAATTTAAAATTAACTTTTCTTATTACTCCAAGGGTGGGTAGTGTATTTCAATATTTTTATTACTAAATAGTAACTGTAAATATATTCTGTTATCGTCTACAATGTTTATATGTTTAATTTGTACAGTACGTGTAAAAATGACTTGAACATAATAAATTAGTTAGTTAAACATATTTCGCTTTTAAATTCATGTTACTATCAACCCTAGAAAAACCTGCATTTGAATTTTTAAGGTCACGCGTCGTTGGAAAGCTCATAAGCGCTTTCGGATGAGGTTTACTTCAAGGGTCGCAGATGAAGCTAAAAACACCTAAACAACATTTACTTCGTTCATGTTGTCATTTCCTACAGGAATATTATGATTCTAAGCACATCTACCACAAAAGGAGTTTGTTACATTGCGCAGTCATCTTTCTGAACATTCATTCCCTCATATATTCCCTCTCCCTTATCTCAGACCATTGAGATATTCTTCATCCGAAAGCTTCCATCATAAGGTTTCCAACGATATATAGTACATACTGGACTCAGCCAAATTTTTATTTGAATATTCATAAACTATTTATTCATCCCCAATATAATCAAGTCGAAGACCGTAGTTTTTTTTATTTCAGTTAAGTAATTAGGTAAGTACCTTCTTCAGTTAGTAATTACAACAAGGAGAGGACAATATATATAAAGAGTATAAGTAATTATCACTTACCTAACAGTTTTCCCATTCATTTCAATTAAACTCCAAACTTTTCCTTGCATTTCCCTGTTGTTGCATAGAAGATTTTCGTTGATTTAAGTGAGCAAAGTGTAACTAACTAATCCTTGGCTGGAACGTACCATCATGTGACACCCATCAACTAAATCAATACAACACACGTCACGAATTGCTTTTTTTATTTTACATTCGTTTATTAATAACACAAAAAATTAAGGCTTTATTATTAAATATGTGACACTAATCGTTATTTCTAACTACAATATGTTACGATTATGTTAAATAATGACGATGTTCTGAGGTTAATACTGACACTTATTATTATTTCACGACCAATTTTTCAGAATGACGATTGTCCGTTTCTCCTTTGGCGGTCAGGAAGTTACTATCTTTTACTGAGATATAATACGAAGCAAAAAACGTTATCAAGTGTAATAATAAACTTGTTTCCAGCAAAATATATCTTATTACGATAATACAAACATAAAATACATTTCCATACACCTACAACTTACAAAGATAAAAAATTGTTTAAGGAAAAAGAAAATTTGTTAACATTAAAAAGGCACAACAAAAAATTAAGCCTCATATATCTAAAGATGTAATATGTACTTCTCTCTGTAAAGGAAGTGTGAGGCATAATTTGCGATTAGACAGGAGCGATTCTAGCTTCCCTTAAAGGCCAAAGGGTCCGCTTCGCAACCCCGGCATTGCACTCAGGTCAATTATGCACCCCTTTCTCGCCTGAGGGCAGCAATTTGCTTTACGGTGGTGCTTTATGTACTTGGTTGAAATAAACCTAATAAAATACACGCAAAATCTTTTTATACTGTGTGACATACATTTGTCGTTTATAACGACGCTACGATTATAGCGATGGCAAATTTTCGATCTTATTGACGGACTCCCGAAGGGTAGTAACAAAACGACAGGGACTATATACTATAGACGCATTCTTGTTCATTCATTATCTTATTATGAGATAAAATACTGTAATTCTATCTTTAGATTTACAAGATTATTAGGTGTTTGTGAAGAAACAGTTTATTACTTGAGGGCTGATATAGTGAAAACGGCTGGAGTTAGGTGAATTTTTAATGAGGCACTTTTTGAATGTAGAGTATGAAATTTACTTCAAGAGAGTGTGTCAGACCCAATTTTGTAAGTGAAGTTGTTCGCGGGGTATAAAAGTTCAATGTCTACTCCCCGGAAAAGTCAATATGTTTTCCCGTTTCAAACTTTGACCGCTTGCGGGTTCGGGTTACTATTATTTATACTAAAAGTTGAAATTTGGCAGCCTTTTTTTAAGTATCCTTTGTATTATCTTCCCCAATGAAAATCAGAGGAGAAAGGGTGGCACTTTGTTAGGTAATTTCCAGACAATTTAAGGACTGACTTCCAGTAGTCACTACTCTATTTGTTAAGCTTAAAATATCCTGATTTAAGATGAGATTTGGCTGTCTTTTATTGAAATTTTCCTTTTTATATATTTCGAAAAGTTCGTTAAAAATTACGATAACCATGGAGCCTTTCAGAACCGCCCCAGCAAGGGAGAAAAATTAGACTAAAAGACTTGAGTATCTACTTATTCTGTTGGGTTAATAAATAAATTGACTAACCCTTTTTCGATTTAATACGTATAATGGACGAAATCGGTTAATATTTCAGCGTCGGCCCTTATAAAGACGCAATATCCAATCCGATGCCTACCTAATGCACAATTTACTTATCTTCGTACCTCGGCAATGGTGCATTAAAGAGTGAAATGGATCGGCCTAAGTGTTTTCCTATAACTGTTTTCACAGTTGAACGGAAGAAGCCATTCCGTTCTGTCTCATTAACCTAAGCGCCCGGCGGTAGCGACGCCGACGACGTCGTCGACGGCCCACCGCCAGTCCGAAAAACGAAGATATGAGCTCTAGGTAACTGTTTATTGCGTTCCCTGATTAAAATCCCGATTAAATCGATTCCAGTTCGGCTATTATTATACGTTTGTCGTTTCCGCATTCAACCGATGGAAATTGAATTCTATTCCGGGGACGGGGGTAGGAGAAGCGCTCCCAAACTAAAAGCCCTTTCATGTAAAACGAACGGCGGTACTTCAGATTCTACATTGATGCTTAATTGAGAGGGATTAAGGACCTTATGCCTTGCTCTTACTCTTGTTGCTGCTCCACTCGATTAGAAATTTCGTCTTACGAATTTATGACAAAGGTATTAAGTTCATAATTCGGCACTCGACCTACAAAAAATTCTCAAAATCACCCACGTTATATATATAAAAAAGATACATTTTCACGTCTCTCCAGCTAAATAAGATGTACCTACTCGCTACTGATCATTTTAATCACGTAATACATAGCAGGGTCCAAATATGTTCAAAAACAAGAACGAGTTATTCATTATTTTATTCCTTTGTAAAGACCAACATATGAAAATTTTTAGATTCTTGGTTACAGTTAACTAAATCATAGTTGTTTATCATGATTCGCCATCGAAAAAGGAGTCAACAGAGCGACAGCGTCAAAGCTTGGCAAAGCTGAATTCCACAAGAATTTTGCTGATAGATTATGATTTAGAATGCAACAGAGTATTAATACATGCACATTTCTGGTGTTCCTAAAAGAGATGCAGTTTTTTGTGAACAGGATTCTCCACCATATACTCCCGATCTGGCCTCAAGAGACCATTGACTTTAGAGGAAGAAAGCTCAACATTAATAATGAAGTAAACTCAGCAATTTTAGTACATTCTGATGACAAAACTTCACACTATTTTCTAAGGACGTATAGAAATGTTGGTGAAGCGGTTTGATAAATTGAAATACAAGAAAATCATTTTGAAAATAATAATAGCATCTACCTAAATTAAGATTCACTCTTAATTTTATTTGCCGTATACATGCAGTAAGAAGTGCTAATTTATATATTTTTATATAATTAAAGTACAATTTGTGATATAACATATAGACGACAACCCAACATACACCAAATATTGTAACTCTAGTAATGTAACTACAACAACTGTTAGAAAACATTTTTACTCACACAAACCACAAACTATGACGTAAAATAATTAATTAGATATATTTTAAAATGCATCTGATTGAAAACCCTACAGAATTTTTTCTTTTTGTTGGTAAAATCAAAGAATAAAAACACAAGTCGTTCACAAGAATTAAATTGAAAAAGATTAACAAAAGTAATAGAAAGTTTTGGTTTCAGGTGAGCATCCTGCAGCAATGCAAACAAGTAGGGGAGACCTTCAAAGTCACTTGATGTTACTCACCAGTTTTTCATCAATTTTAGTGTTAGTTTCAAGATGATTATTATACTAATTACTACCGCAGAACGTAAAAAAACACTCGGTACAACTCCACAAGGTAACAATTTTGTTCGCAAGAGTGAACTACCTACCTAACTAAAAGAAAAAAAAATAACGTTTGGTGATAAAAAGAAATACTATAATAATATAATAGTCAGTGTAAATAAATTAAAAGTATACTATATTTTTGTGGTGCTAACACTATTAATTATTGTGTTGATTGTGATTACGACTGGGGGCTCACAATGCTGGTTTTTGGACGAACTTCTAGTGACTATAAAAATTTAGTGTTAGTGTTTATATGATAATACTGGATGGTAATCGAATTCGAGAAATCACTGTACAGTTTGTGACTGTAGACTTTGCAAATCACTCACAATTTTCAATGTTTTGGTTACTCGTTATGCCCTGATTATATCAACATTACCTTAAAATATACCGAACCCTGTGTTAGAAGGGACTAAAGGCGATAAGGACACGACCCTACTTGATTTCAATTTTAATCCCTACCGGGTTATAGGTACAGTGGAATTCATTTATTATGACTCCGCTTATATTGACCGACCGCTTAATATGAAGTAATTGCAGTGTTAAGTTTGATTTTCATATTAAATTCTGTATAGGAAAGTTTGGATATAATGACTCCGTTTAAAATGACATTTCGTTTATTATGACTGATTTTAAAGAAATCATATCCGGCTATAGTGACCCAAATGATTAATAATAACATTTTCGCTCATTTTTCTGACCCTTCTTATGTATATTGATATTACAATTCATCGTTCTTTTTCTTTTTCTGTTAATAAATAGATACAATTTGTAGTTTTCTCTAACTAAATAACTAACCAAAATGGAAAGTTGTTTGTTTTCTAAGACTGTGCTTTGTATGACACCCGCTTAATTAAACGTGTTTGTCATTTCCCTTCGGTGTCATTATAAGCGGATTCTACTGTACTTAAAATTATATTGTTCTTTTATTATTTTATTTGCAATTAAAATGTATGTGAGACTACGATAATTGACGTCTGTGAAGTAAGAAAAATACAGAGTCAATTGCGCCTGGAATGTTTACTCGTTGTAACAATTTTCTATTCTCTTTTATCCTTTGCTACATATGTAACAGTTGTACCAGAGAAAAAGGAATGCTGCCTCCAACTAGTGAGAAAGTTTTCCAATCGTAAAAACCCAAATTACAAAGAATGCTCCTGTTCTTTTGTTGATTTGTTTACTTGACTAGGGTAGGTATTTATTTTTCTTTTCCTTTCTCCGATGGATTCAATCAAAATCCATTCTCACGTTCTGTTTTTTCAAGCTACTTTCAAGTTTCCATAGCATCCAATTAAAACGACATCATTATCATAAGGTCTTCACACGAAGATTGGTTGGACAAGCATCACCTCGATTTCTTCCTACAATGAAACAACCTTCGCATTTCTCAAACATCTCAAACTATTTGCGAACAGTAATCTAATCTAGGTTTACTTTAACTCCTGTCTGTAACTAGTCCTGTATTGTTGAGAAGGTGTCCTACCAGTCTACCTCGTTTATTTATTGCTTCCAAAGCGCCCTTTATCTTCCTTCTTTTTCTAATACGTTCTCATTTCTAACCTTTTCTATCCACGGCGTTTTTTACATTCTCTTACAAGTCTATATCTCTAATGCTTCTATTCTGCAACGCCCATCGTCCACGTTTTATACTCATACGGAACCATGCATATCCTTTTAGTAATCATTTTTGAATTTCTAAATTACGATCACAAGCAAAAAGTTAATCCTTTTTCGTCAAAACTGACCCGATCCTGTGCTACTCTTTCTTTTATATCTCTACCTTTTCCAATCAGAACTATCTGACTTTTAAATATCGGGAATCTTCTAACTTTTTCAGTTTTAAATCTTCTATTTTTATATGTATTATTAGTTCTAATTATATGTTAGAACAAAAGGACACGAAGATGACTAAATCTTTAATATTTATTTTTAATTCTGTGTCGGTTTTCCCGACCTTAATTCATAATATAGATTATGGACAATAAAAAACTATTTAAAGAGGTGATGAGCGAATTCTATTTTTATGTACCCTGATGGTTTTGGAACTAGGAAATTGATTTATGGCATTGTTATAGGAACCTGTTTAGCTATATTTACGTCGCATGTATACAAATAATAACATACTGCAAACGTTTATCTCTTACCATTAATTATTAACAACAGGTCGCACAGGGCGGTTTGTACGGCTCCGATATTCACAACCTATTTATTAAACTTCCGGGGGTAGTTAAGTCCATACATCCACAAACTATAATCGTCAATATCACTGCAATTATTACCACTGGAAAGTAGTATTTTCTTTAATTATAACAGAGATTCCACAAAAGAATCTAGATTCTAGGTAACAGCAATTTATCAGAAATTTTTCATACCATACTCTGCTATAAATACCACTTGCAGTTTATTTATAGCTAATTCTAACTCTTCCTTGCTAGATGCTAATCCTGGTACATCATTCATAAATCTAAGCATCCCTATAGCAGTCCTGTCTATACAAATAACAAGTTAATAAGTAGCGGTAATAACGTACATCCTTCTAACTGCCTTCCTAATATTTATTGCTCAACAATGTTGCTCACTCTTCAATTGTCACCATGCAATTCGAATAGTCCGTAAATGATTGTCTTTTCATTNATCCGATCTCACGTGTTGTTATTCGCCGGTTCACATCAACCAATGCCTTTATCGCGTCTTTATCAGCTTCAACCGGCCTTCCCGAACGTGGTGCATCTTCGTCATCAAAATTGCCGGATCGAAATTTAGCGAACCAGTTCTGGCACTGGCGTACTGTCAACACACCTTCTCCATACACGTCAGTCAATTTCTTTCCGATCTCACGTGTTGTTATTCGCCGGTTCACATCAACTAATGCCTTTATCGCGTCTTTATCAGCTTCAACCGGCCTTCTCTTACGTGGTGCATCTTCGACATCAAAATTGCCGGATCGAAATTTAGCGAACCAGTTCTGGCACTGGCGTACTGTCAACACACCTTCTCCATACACATCAGTCAATTTCTTTCTGGCTTGAACAGCATTTTTACCCTTTCTGTAGTAAAACAGTAAGATATGTCGAAAATGCTGCTTATCGCTCTCCATATTTAAAAGGGCACCAACCAAAAACTACTGCGTAGAATTAATTGGAATTTTTCACACACAAGCCTTGCTATATGAGCTCTCAAAGCATATAAAAATTATACGGCTTAAATGTGGAATTGGGTGCAAAAGAATACAATTAAATCCTCTGTCGGGAAAAAACGAAATGACTTTCCGAACAACCCTATAGTTGTGGTTAGTTAACAATTACAAACAACAAAACAAAATACATAAATAGAACTTTAACTCACATTCACAAACCCTTCAAGAGTATCACAACTCCTATCAGCAGACAGTTTTGCCCTACGAATAAATGTGCTAATGATAAGAGAAAAAAAAACAACACATTTACAAAAATATAATTATATTTATTCACTTATTAAGTATCGATAAGTAGTGCGTATAAATATGGAATATTGTGTGAATTGGTATGTAATATTATTTAAATTACTCACTAATATTAACATCATTATGTTATAAAATAAAGCTGATCCCTAAAGTTTGTACTTTCTTATTTACAATATTTACAGTGTAGATAACAAAAATTTAAATTTAACAGAACAGTTTTATAAGTACAAATACTTAATGGTTCATTTCACTATTAAAAAGCACAATAATATAAGAACCCTGAAAACATTTGCAAAACTGTTTGCTGAGGAATGGGGAAAATCCCTCTGCATTGCCTCACTATGCTCCCCTGTAATTAAAAATACTAAGGTTTACACAAAATAACGGACACAACATAACAACAACAAAAATGGAACTTCTAAACATTGAACTACTTCACAAAAACAAAGACACAACAAACAATAAAAGCCCTTTGTTAGTAAACCACATTAAAGATGATTCTAAGAAACTAATTTCTCAAAACATTTATATTTAACGAAATAATCAATAAAAGCCTTTAATATTAAACTTTTTCAAGTAACATTCGCGACTTTAATTTATTTATATTATACGTAATAAGCACCTAATAATACATCTAAATAACCAATTGTAATTCGCTTACCTTCGATGACATACAGATTGACAGACGCTGGAACAGAAACTCCATCACTGCAAGTATACTGTCCGACATCTTGTTCTTTTACTGACGCCAGCCTCAGTCTGCTTGTTGCACATAATTCATCCGAGTTGTTCTCTAACGACAGACCGTCTCTTCTGGTCTAAAGAAAAAAAGTCATAATTAGATATTACGTATAAAATTTGGTCAATAATTTATCGAGACTATCAATCGTAAATCTTGTTTGGTCTCATCAGCGCATCACAGACAGTCTCGATAAACCACTGAGCAAATTGAATAAGATGCTCCATAGTTATGAGCATGCTTATATGTATAATATTGGGTGTAGGTACCTCAAAACTGATTTCAAAGCCGTTATGAAACCATTTTATTACTGGTTTTGCCTTTTTATTATTCCGTTTTTTCCGCTTGAAATGATTTTGAGACGTCCAAGACACTTCGCAAGTTAAGATGACCGAAGAACCGCTGTGAACGTGAAGTTGTCCAGGACCTTTGATACTTATCCGTCTATCACCTTTCAAATCGTCTACAATGTGGTCTCTATCTGTAACCAAAAAGGCCCAAAATCGTACAAAACGATTTGAAAAATTCTGCCGATCAAATACCTGACACGGTGAGATTTATGGCAAGGCTCATTTTCGGATCTGTGTTAACTTGACATTCGTATTGTCCTGTATCGGATTCTTTCACCCCTCGGATTCGTAAACCCCAAAAGTTTCTGCCCGGAGAATAAACAGGTTCGAATCTGTTATCGCCAGAAAATGTGAACATGCCAGAGGAGATGATAAGCAAATCTTTTTTACGAATCCACGACACCTAGCGACAAAGAAAAGATAAGATTAATACTTTTGTACTAACTAGGGGAAAATGATAGGGAAGACTACCACAAGGAGAGAAAAATGCAGAAGATATAGGAATAAGGGATCCAGAAGTGGGGAAGCAACAAATAAATGGTTATTAGAAGCAGATGGGGCTGCAACGAAGAGAAGTAAATATTAGGAAGGGAGTCAAACAGGGATGCACACTGTCACCGCTACTTTTTAATCAACATCCTTAAAGACAGTGCAACTGTAGGGATAGCTATACATGGGCAAAATATTGTATGCTTAGATTTGCAGATGCTATAGCAGAATTAGCATCTAGCCAGGAGGAGTTAGAGATAGTTTTAAATAAAATGGAAACTCTATTGACAAAACAGTACTGTATGAAAATAAATAAAAGTAAAACAAAAATACTGGTATGCAAGGAAAGAAAAAGTATGGAGAGAGCGAATATAAAAATAGGAGACGATAAATTAGAAGAAGTGGCTGATTTTAGATATCTAGGAAGTCAGATAAGTCAGGACGGAAGGAGTAGTAGGGATATAAAGCAGAGGATAGCGCAGGGTCGAGTCGTCTTCACGAAAAGGAGTCACTTCTATGTTCGCGAACGGTTAATTTAGAAATTCGAAAAAGGTTGTTAAAGGTGTATGTTTGGAGTACGGAGCTGTACGGGTGCAAAACATGGACAGTGGGCGCGGCGGAAAAGGAAAGGTTGGAAGCATTCGAAATGTGGTGTTACAGGCGAATGATGAGGATACCGTGGATAGAGAAGGTTAAAAATGAAGAGGTATTAGAAAGAATAGGAGAACAAAGGACTCTATAGGAGTCAATAAGAAATAGGTGAGATAGGTTAGTTAATTATGAGCTTATGATGATGATGAGAAACAGAGGGTCTGATGGTAGGTACATTTTGCTTAATTAAAATTATAGTTTACCACTTTGTCTCCGGCATTCCAGACCGTACAGGGTAATAAGACAGTCTGGGCAATTCTGGCATTGATGCTACGAATATTGAGATCGTCGAATTTTGGCTGCGGTGGTTGTTTTAAGAAGTCAGAATAGGAAGTCGAAGATACCGACGATGACGGCGCGGTCTGGTGCTGCATCGCCGCTCCATCCGAATGTCCTGGAACAAGGAACAACTTATTTAATACACGATATTCCCGAATATATGAGATTTATTCAAAACAATGTCAGCTGTTGGCTGTGCAGAGTGCACTTAACCCAAAGATATGGCGCTCACGCGGCTTCAATTTCAAGTTTTGTGTGTTTCTGTTCACACAAAACGAATTGTACTCGAATATATAGTTCATATTCCGCATTCTAGTCACAAACGCGACAATATTTGCTTTACAAAGTTTCTAAGGGAACTATTATTCCATCACGTACTTGTTAAAGAGAGTTTACTACAGATACATGTTTATGTAAATTTCTACACGAAACGGAAGCTAAAATACACCAGGAATGCATCCTTTTGTTTTTGAAAATTATTTCTAATGCATCTGAAAGTTTTTTATATAATAACGAAGGATGTAAAATCTAATTTTCTGCAAGCAAGTGCTATAAAATGATTTATATGCAGCATGAAGTCCAAAGAAATAGCGAACTGTGTAGAGTCATGAGACACTTGGTGATGATGATGGTCCAAATAATGTCCTTCTGTGCAAAACATAAACATCGTCCTGTTTTTGACGTGACAAGGTCTTATAATTCGATGGAGCCGGCTGCACGCACGAAAAAACATGACTCATGCGGCGTTACCTCGCTCTGAGGCGTTCCATTTAAGGCTTGAAGTGCAAGCGAGAGCGCGGAACGAGCGACAAAGTGGTACAATCGGCCTCCGCGTTCGGCAGCGTTCGACATCTGTCTCTCTCCTAGTTGAGTGAGTGAGATGCGTCCGCGTGGACAGCTGCTATACAATAATACATTTCCATTTACCTCCTTCTCTATATCCATACAAAATATCTATCAAACAAATAAAATTAAAATTTTCTTTTTAAAAATGAAACCATTCCATCAGTATTTTCTTATGACGTTGTCACGTTCAACTATCGTCAGTAAACCGACTTTACAGACAACCGATTTTTTTTATTGTGCTCTTGGTAAATTCCAAAAATTATTTTTATTTCGTTCGTTGCAGAGAGTTGCTGTTTCGCGTGTAATTGGAGAAATGAATGGGAATGGCTGGAACCTACAAAAATTCAGATGCGATTTCGAAGGCAACCGAGCGTTTGAAAAGTATTTACGTATAATTCGAGTTGGTATACAGCGGCGCTCGGCATGTCTCTAATGCTGGTAGTACGTACGTACGTTTGAAAATGAAAACCCTAAGCCGAATCTGAGGTAAAAACTAAATTATCTCTGTTTAATGACCTGGATTCGTACGGTCTGACGGAGACGCCCCAGGGAAGCAATTATATCAGAAAATACTGGTCGTTAGAGACAGGAAACAAAAACAGGAAGCAGGATACAATCCGTTTTATTTCTCAAGTCGTCACCTGCAAATTTTTACAACTTCTTTGCCGAGTTTAAAACACATATTCAATGTCTCATTTTAATGAAATCGTTAATGCGAAATTAAGTTGAGAACCGAATCGTTAATGCTTTCGGATAATTTTCCTTGCCATTTATGGACGATGACACAAGCAGTGTAACCTTTAGGAACCTCGAGGAAGAAGAGGAATGTCTGTGTGGGTAAGGGAGAGACTGAAGGGGATTGATTTTCGCCACTGGCTGCAGCCTATGCTGTGTACGCAAACATTACAATGTCATTAACGCTTAAGTGATACTCGTTAAGTCGCCATAGGATCGCCGTCACATCAGGATCTGAATTTCAGGACATGCGACAAATCGGACACCCGAAGACATTATGTACAGTTGTTCTCCAAATTATTGGAGTGTAACAATCGTTACTATGCTAATGGAACCGCTGGCGACCAAACTCTATCAGTAATGAAAAGGTTTCGACATAGATTAACGAAGGTTGAGGAGAGTACCTATTAGCAGCCCCAAAAGGATCAAACACTTATAAAATAAATGAAGATGTGAATTATTACTTTTGGTAGTACCTAAAAAACAATTTGTTGGAATGGAAAAGATATTGTTCTCTCTTTATCATTTCCTTACACCATTTACAAATCTCCTTAATTATTCTTGTCCTAATAATAAATTTGAAAAGTACAGGAAGAAAAATATGTCAACTAAAATTGAAAAAAAATGTTTATTAATATTTAGAGAGACTCCTCAAAACCCTAACTTACATTGACAGGTTACAGAACCTTAAAAATAGAGTGAGCAATCACACAAGTTATAAGCAGTGGAATTATCGAAAAGAAGACTCTTGGCGATGCTCTTGAGAAATAAAAATGAACTACACTGCTATATTTGGAAACTAATGAAAGTTTCTAATGTAAAGCTCTCTTTTCAAATGGTATTATTGTACGTCAGTAATATCTCGAAATAGACAAGAAAATACTAATAAATCGAGGAGGATTGATCTTGTACGTAACTGTAGATATATATTTTGATACATAACAAGATTTCTTGTTGTATTTGATAACTTACTTCATCGCAAAAGAGCTTTTAAAAATTCGAATACTTATTATATTAACATTTGATCATCATCATTTGGGTAAGATATTAAATAACTTAAAAATGCAGGAATGACATACAGGGTGATACATAGGTTGTATAAAAAGCAATAGGCAGTTATAGAGATTGAGTAGAAACCTAGAGAACTGGTATACAAGGGAAAAAAAAGGGAAAGAGCAAACAAAAAGATAGAAGACGAAAAAATAGAAGAACTGGCTGGTTTTCGGTATCTAGGAAGTCAGATAACTCAGCATGGAAGGAGGAGTAGAAATATAAGACAGAGGATAGCACAGAGTCGAGTTGCCTTCAACAAAAAGACGTCACTTCTAAGCTCGAGAACGGTTAATTTAAAAAGTTGAAAAAGATTGTTAAGATGTTACAGGTTACAGGTGAATGATGAGGATATCGAGGATATCGTGAATAGAGAAGTTTAGAAATGAGGAGATATTAGAAAGAATATGAAAACAGAGGACACTATGGAAGTCAATAGGCGAGGTAGGTACCTTAAAAACTTTTGGGTGTTTCATTCCCACCAGCCAGTAATGCTGGTGGGCGGGCAGTCCCTCCGGACTATGCCGGAAGGTAGGGCGGAAGGCCCTCTTCAGCTTGCTTTCAGGAATCGTGGGAATGGGTGGATGGTGGTTCGGGTGAGAAAGATGAGACGGACGAAATGAAGACAGAAGAGAGTGAAAGATTATCTGTGAAATATTACTGCCTCAGCATTTGCCTAAGTGATCCAAGGAAACCACAGAAAAACTTGGACCAAGGCAGACGGACAGACCCGGAATCAAACCGGCGTCCTCCCGAATGCTAAGCAATGGTCTAGACCTCTAGGCCATGCCGCTCGGTGTAGGTACCTTCTCAGGCATGAAGAGATAGAACAAACAGAATAGCTCAAAAACCCCAACGCCAAAACACGACACTGTAGCTGTCCGAAGCACTTTTTGGTAACAAAGTTACCTCCTTCAGGGACTGAAGTAAACTGTCCCTGAAGAAGGTAACTTTGTTACAGAAAAGTGCTTCGGACAGCTACAGTGTCGTGTTTTGGCGTTGGGGTTTTTGAGCTATTCTGTTTGTTCTACAACAACCGCCAACGTTTTTCCAATCTTCATATGAAGAGATAGAGAAGTAGAAACAGGAGCTAAGGGAAGTAGAGGTAGACCTAAATTAGACTTCTGTTCACAAATAGTTAAGGATGTGAGATGTTTTAGTTCAAATCTAGATTCGTGTTCAAGCAGTCTTAAGATTGACGACCTTATGATGATGATGATAATAATGAATCAGGTAGATGGAATGCATTTTATTTTCTATGCATCTGTCCATGAAAATTTAGGCTGCTCTTCGTCGTTGAGCTTTGAATGCTCAGGGTCCAATTTGTCTGATAATCTTCCTAGCAACAAAGAGAAATATGGCGAGCCGTAGCAAGAAGTCAAAGAAAAATGGGACCATTAAAAACACAACAGAGGCGATCCGGGAAGACTTTAACGAGTCGTAAAAGTAATTAACGGAATTGTCTGTATAGCTGGGGCCAGTCATAAAATAACATTTATTTGAATCCACAAATTGCTTCTGCGTTTCGGTCCGCTGAGGAAAAAAAAACATCTGGCGGATGTTTTCTGACTTTCAACTATTGGGTATTTGTACGACTATCTTTCTAACTTACATTCGAATCAAAATTACAGACTGTTACAGGTATTTAGATAAACAATTAGTGTTGCTTTTATTTATCTAATAAAAGTTATAAGCAATTTCAAGGATATTTATTAATTTTCGTAATATTGATCCATCAGTTTGGAATCCAAAATAAAACTTGCGACCATCGCGATGGCATAAGAACCTGTTTAACATTTAAATTAAATATGTAACCCTCATTTGAAAATAGAAATGAATATTGTTCTTTCACAAATAGGCTAGATTACTCCAAAACTGTAATTAACAAAAGGATTGTGAAAATTCCGGTTCTAGAGCGAAAACAAATTAAACTTGAACGTAAAGTGTTAAATTAAAATAGCCGACAAAAGAGACAAAAAAAAAACATCTATTTATGTAAAACAGATGTTCTTTCGGCATCCTTTACACATATAATCAAGCTTTATATTTATGTTAATGCAGACGATACGTTTTTAAAGACCATTAACTCGATGATTTAATATTTCGTTCTGTTAGGTATTTTTCGTAGTTTTTCAATCTTTTTACACAAACAACTCTGCTCTATTTATGCATATTATTATTATATATATTGAAAAATACATTTTTATATCCACTTTTACTCCTTTGTACTTACTGTGTCTCGTATTGACAATAGGGTACATGTTTTTAGCCATTTTTTTACTCACTTCAAAGCGTTTCATTTTTATGTTTGTACATTTCATAATTTCTTCCAGTACAAACAATTTCTAAGTGACACAAAGTAACAAATATGTAATTCTACATGTACGTTTAATAAAAGATGGATATTAACTTTTTGTTTCAGTTATATCTAGTTACAAATGCTACAGGATTGCCTCCCTGGGGATTTAACATCTGGTACATCAG